GTTAAAGAGACTGTCTTTTCTCCATTGTACATTTTTGCCTCCTTTGTCAAAAATAAGGTGTCCATAGGTGCATGGATTTATCTCTGGGCTTTCTATTTTTCTTCATTGATCTACATTTCTGTCTTTGTGCCAGTACCATACTGTCTTGATGACTGTAGCTTTGTAGTATAGTCTGAAGTCAGGCAGGTTGATTCTTCCAGTTTCATTCATCTTTCTCAAGATTGCTTTGGCTATTCAAGGTTTTATGTGTTTCCATACAAATTGTGAAATTATTGGTTCTAGTTCTATGAAGAATACCATTGGTAGCTTGATAGGGATTGCATTGAATCTATAGATTACTTTGGGTAGTACACTCATTTTCACTATATTGATTCTTCCAAATCACAAACATGGTATATTTCTCCATCTATTTGTGTCATCTTTGATTTCTTTCATCAGTGTTTTATAGTTTTCTATATATTAGGTCTTTTGTTTCTTTAGGTAAATTTATTTATAAGTATTTTATTCTTTTTGTTGCAATGGTGAATGGGATTGTTTCTTTAATTTCTCTTTCTATTTTTTCATTGTTAGTGTATAGGAATGCAAGGGATTTCTGTGTGTTAATTTTTTATCCTGCAACTTTACTCTATTCATTGATAAGCTCTAGTAATTTTCCAGTGGTATCTTAAGTGTTCTCTATGTAGAAGATCATGTCATCTACAGTGAGAGTTTTACTTCTTTTTTTTTCCAATCTGGATTCCTTTTATTTCTTTTCCTTCTCTGATTGCAGTGGCTAGGACTTCCAAAGCTATGTTGAATAGTAGTGGTGAGAGTAGGCACCCTTGTCTTATTCCTGATTTTAGTGGAAATACTTTCTATTTTTTGCTATTGAGGATAATGCTTGCTGTGGGTTTGCTGGATACGGCTTTTATTATGTTGAGGTATGTTCCTTCTATGCCTGCTTTCTAGAGAGTTTTTAATCATAAATGGATGTTGAATTTTGTCAAAGGCTTTCTCTGTATCTACTGAGATAACCGTATGGTTTTTATCTTTCAATTTGTTAATATGGTGTATCACATTGATTGGTTTGTGAATACTGAAGAATCCTTGCATCCCTGGAATAAAGCCCACTTCGTCATGATGTATGATCCTTTTAATATGTTGTTGGATTCTGTTTGCCAGAATTTTGTTGAGGATTTTTGCATCTATGTTCATCAGTGATATTGGCCTGTAGTTTTCTTTTTTTGTGGCATCTTTATCTGGTTTTGGTATCAGGGTGATGGTAGTCTCATAGAATGAGATTGGGAGTTTGCCTTCCTCTGCAATTTTCTAGAAGAGTTTGAATAGGATAGGTGTTAGCTCTTCCCTAAATTTTTGGTAGAATTCACCCATGTCGGCAGGACTTCTGATGGATTATATTGTGAGGGAGGGAAAGGAGGAAATCAAGAACGTCTTCTAAGTTCCTGGCTTAAGCAACTGCATAAGGTAGGGGTATTTAGCAAAATGGGAAAGCCTAGGGGTTAAAGGTTAACACACACATACACACAGGCACATGTCACTCATGAAGTAAGGTTATGACTCTTATAAAAGAAGGACTGAAAGGACTCACAACTTCCTGTGTGATAGATCTTTCAGATTAGGCTCTCAGAGAGCATTCTCTTTCACCTTCAAGGTTTGTGTCATCAAACATTAAGCTAATGGATTTCAAGCAAAAAAATGGAAAATGCCTATATGCAGGTCAGGAAGGAAAAGTTAGAACTGGACATGGAACAACAGACTGGTTCCAAATAGGAAAAGGAGTACATCAAGGCTGTATACTGTCATCCTGTTTATTTAACTTATATGCAGAGTATATCATGAGAAACTCTGGGCTGGAAGAAGCACAAGCTGGAATCAAGATTGCTGGGAGAAGTATCAATAAACTCAGATATGCAGATTTTACCTCCCTTATGGCAGAAAGTGAAGAGGAACTAAAAAGCCTCTTGATGAAAGTGAAAGAGGAGAGTGAAAATGTTGACTTAAAGCTCAACATTCAGAAAACTAAGATCATGGCATCTGGTCCCATCACTTCATGGGAAATAGATGGGAAGACAGTGGGAACAGTGTCAGACTTTATTTTTTTGGGCTCCAAAATCACTGCAGATGGTGTCTGCAGCCATGAAATTAAAAGACACTTACTCCTTGGAAGGAAAGTTATGACCAACCTAGATATTATATTAAAAAGCAGAGACATTACTTTGCCAACAAAGGTCCGTCTAGTCAAGGCTATGGTTTTTCCAGTGGTCATGTATGGATGTGAGAGTTGGACTGTGAAGAAAGCTGAGCACTGAAAAATTGATGCTTTTGAGCTGTGGTGTTGGAGAAGACTCTTGAGAGTCCCTTGGACTGTAAGGAGATCCAACCAGTCCATCCTAAAGGAGTTAAGTCCTGGGTGTTCATTGGAAGGACTGATGCTGAAGCTGAAACTCCAATACTTTGGCCACTTGATGCGAAATGTTGACTCACTGGAGAAGACCCTGATGCTGGGAGTGATTGGGGGCAGGAGGAGAAGGGCACAACAGAGGATGAGATGGCTGGATGGCATCACCGACTCGATGGGCATGAGTTTGAGTAAACTCTGGGAGTTTGTGATGGACAGGGAGGCCTGACGTGCTGCGATTCATGGGGTCACAAAGAGTCAGACACGACTGAGAAACTGAACTGAACTGAAGTGGCAGCTCAAAGTTTGGCCCAGTCTTGCACTCATCCTTACTCAACATATGCTGACTGCAAGTAACTTATTTAAAAAACATTTAAATGAAGGAAGAAAATTCAGAATTAACTCTGAGTAATACTTAAACCCTCAGTGGTAAAAGGCAGCATCAGGATTTATAAAATGGAGAAAGCCTCATGTTTGGAAAAAGGGCTAATTCCTTATACAAGTGATAACTTAGACAATCCACCCCTTTTACCCCCTCCCCCATCCCCAGGAAACTAAGCTATAGATCTGAGCACAGATCAGGTAAAAGACTTCAGTCTAACCAAATATAAGCAACAAAGGTGTCAGAAGTTTATTTTTTAATACAACAAAGAAGCTCTTAACTCTTCCAGAAGATGAAGTTGGGAGATACTACAATAAAGATTAATGATCATTTACAATGGAATGGAAACTTTCAGTGCCTACCACAAATCAAAATTCAGTGAGCCATAACTTTGAACAAATCACAGCAAACACTGACCAACAGACACTAAACCAGCCACTGAAATTACACTCCATCAAGAAACCTATTTCAAGGAACCAAATTATATAATACCAAGGGATGCTTTGTGGGGGTCAGTTGTTTTGTTTTGTTTTTGCTCCTGTTCAGGAAACAGATTAGAATCAGGACCTTATTAAATAGAAGAAATCAACCAGAAGAAGCTACTTTGCATAACAATAAAAAGCCTGGGAAATGGAGACTGAGATCCTGATTGGAGCTGGTTAGAACCTAACATCCTTAGGGAAGTTGCTCAACTACCCTAAACTTCCATTTTCACATCTGTAAAATGGGGATAACAACAGCAGGATAGAGACTTTCAGAGTTCACCCACATCCAGTCTCCTCTCCTTGCAGGCACATGAGGGAATACATCTCCCAAAGCCTGCTCTGCATGTCAGTAGATCCATGTGCCAAGTTCTGGCCAATGCACTAAGAGCAGCAGTAACCTGAGTCACATCCAGACCAAAGCATTTAACTGCTAGGCTGAGAAACTATTTCTCTGTTGTGGCAATTACGGGAACAGGTGCTGTGTTGGAGGTGCCACAGGATAAAGCTGCCAGGATCACAGAGCCAACACATGGAGGGCAGCTGCCCTGGAGGGTCACCCTGACCCACTGCAAAGCAGTAAGCAAGCCTTTGTTCCATTAAGGCACTGACATTTCAGTGGTACTTGTTATCACAGCTTATTCTAGGCAATGCAAATTGACACAATTATCTAGTTTAGGTAAATGTCATGAGGACTAAATGATACAGTGTCTGGCACACACTAAGCCTTTAATAAAGATTAGCAGGATGATTGCAACTTCCTGATGGTTAGTGTAAAAAAGCTCCGTTTTCTATAGTCAATCTATCAGAATCTTCTCTGCTGTTTGGAGCTACAAGGTTACCATGGACTAACCATAAATCCTGAGCACACATAAAGATCCACCAGGGACTTCACAGAACAGATAGGAACAGTTGGGTGATTTTTATCTCAAAATGAGGAAAAAGGCAAAGTTCCTGCATAGCTGTGTAGACACAGGAAAGTAATTCATATCAGAGTGAACTAACAAAAGACCTCAGCACATCCACTGAATAATCACCTTCTTTAAACAGCTTGGTAAAACCAGTACTGAAGCAGTGCAAATGACGCTAAGAGTTTGGAGCTTTGCTTTTGGTTTATGTCATGCAAAGTGCTCAAGTATGTGGTGGGTTTGGGGCAGGAAAAGCAAGATAAGAAAATGATAAATCAAAACTCTGAGAAGATAAATTCATTACAAAAAATATTTAGTAGCCCCCAAGTACTTAATAGGGCTTTGGGAATTGAGAGATTAAAAGATAATCATACTTGACATGCCTGGCAAGAACAGGAGAGAGAGAGAAGTGGCAGCTCTACTCAAACTCTCCCTGTTACTCAGTTCCTTGTCCCTAATAGAACCTTAAACAACATAGATTCCTCAAGAAGAAAATTAAACTGAGTCTTACTATTTTGCCACAGGTTCTAGAACCCTTGTCCCAATCTTTCTCAGCTAAAGAACAAAATCTATTTTTAACAGCAAGTAAGATAAAAGAAACTAACCTCAGGTCACTTTCTGAATTTTTTCTCATTAAAAAAAAACCTAATACACCTGGTAAGTTCTATTTTATAGAAGAGTTGGAAGAAGAAAAAAAAATTCCACAAATGCTTACAGAACAGGCCTTAAATCCAGGTCTCATTTTTATGACAAAAATGGTTCTCATAAAAAAAAAAAAACACACAAAAACCTGTCATGGATAACAGAATGTATAAATGGGAGATACTTACCACATTTAATACTCTCTATCCGCACAGGGAGGCCAGACTGTGCCGCAGCAATTAATTTCAGGGCAACGTAAAACTGTGTTGGACCAAAATAACCAACCCGCTTGGCACCACACAATTCTGTGATCTGAAAACAGACAAGAGAAGAGATGCTGAAAATTCCATTTCATAACAGAAAAATGAGACAAGATAGATTATGAAATCTCAAGGATTTCATGGGGTAAATAATCAAAAAGTCCCTGGAGAGCCTATGTGTACACACTGATGGGATTCTTTATCCTCTAGTTTGCAGGGAGGTTTTCAATTTGGGTAATTCAATTCTACCCACGCATGATGTTTCAGAACTGGGTGATTATTCCTCCTCTTTCAAAGATAAAAATAAAGGTGACAAAGGATGGCTGTTAATCTTCTTACAAAAGAGTGACTTTTTCAGGGGGTGGACTGTAATGTACAAAGTCTAGAAAGTCACGAAGGTGAAAAGAGAACAGTTTAGTCATCACCATTATTTATGGATTATCCCAGTTGATCGAAATTAAACGTGAGTTCATTATTTTTTTAAAGTTCTCAAGCAAAATGATTTCCTAAGCATCAAAATTACATCTTGAGTGTGCACTTCAAGGAAACAAAAAAGAAGTACTACATATACAAACATTATTATCAAAATATTGCAATCTTTATCACTTGTAGACTTTAAACTAACAGGATATGTCCTACTGGTAGTTTAAAATAACAAATTAAATATACAATGACTTCTTTAAAGTTATTTCTAAGTAACAGATACTCAAAAAAGTTCAAATAATACTAAGTGGGGGTGAAGAACTAAGAAGCACCCTCACTTCATATGTCCCATAGGAAAATATTACATATTTCTTCTAGAAATGTTCTCTGCATATATGTAGTACATACCTGTGTTATTCCTGTTGTTTATTCAAACTTTATACAAATAGACTATCACATACTATTTTGGGACTTGTTTTTCATTTAGCATTATCCCTTGACTATTCTTCTCTATTAGCACAATTAAAATTACCACGTTGCTTTAACAATTGCATAATATTCTGCTGTAAAGATATACTATGCGTTTTTTATTATTATTATTAGTTGGTTCCTTATGGATGGAATTTTAGATTTCCAATAATTACTTTTAGATTTAGATTTCCAATAATTATTGGAAAAATAATTATTCCAATAATTTCCAAAATATCATAAATGCTTTCAGAACAAACTATAAGCAGCCACTATATCTTAAGAAAATTACAATAAAAATTCAACTAGGATGTAAGCAAAAATAGCAGCGTAAGTGTCGCCAAAAACACTGTCCTCCATCAGAACAATGAGAAACTAACTAAAATGGACAGAACTCTGGAAATTGACCAAAAGTTTGTAGCAATCAGTGTGGAGTGGGGGTGGGGGGCGTGCAGTGGTGTTATTCAAGAAAAACAGCCTAATCTCAGGAAGAATGGTGAGTTTTGTGGCATTTTAACTGGCCTTACTTCCATTCTCTTTCCTATTCTGGGTATTTTCACTGACTGGAAGCCACTGAAAGGACAGAGCTGGGCTTCTTGGTTGTGAAGACTACTGTTTGTCATCAAACTGGGTTATCTTGTGGCCATTATTTCTTCAAATATTTTTCTGTCCCTCTCTCTTTCTCTCTCTGGTACTTCCAGTAGTCTACTGTCTACTGCTCCTAGTCCTAGACTAGGAGCTACAGTTAGGGGGCTAAGTCCTATCTTCTCAGCTATACTCACCAAGAAGAGCCCTCCATTGCATGGAACTGATGGGGGTGGGGAGAGGATGAGGTCATGGCCCAAAGGCTACTGGCTCACTGTTCTTACTAAGATTTAGTAGATTTTCTTGAATAAATGTTTCTACATTTGCTGTATGTCTTCAGGCCAATTTCCAGAGACTTTAAATGACTGTCCTTTATAATTTTTACAGTTAAGAGGTTATTTTACTGGGAAGAAGATCTGCTGAGTTTTTCACACTGCCATTCCAAAACTCTCAACCCTCCCAGATTCACTCTTGAGTGGAGAAGCAATAGAACATTATGGTATAAAGAACAGTTCTTGGAGTAAATGACTTAGATGTGAATCCCTGCCTTAGCACCAATCGGCTGCCTGTATAACCTAAGGCAAGTTACTTACCTTTTGTGCCTCAGTCTCCCCTTAAGTGTAAACAGGTACTTACCTCATGTAAGTTAAAGTAGCAGTGCCAACAATAGTGTCCATTCAATAAACATGCGGTCTCTAATTTTTTGGTCCACTTGTTTATTTTGTTGCCATTCTAGCTGCATATTAGAATAACCTAAATAGATTTTGAAAATATAAAGAGACCTAGTCTCTACTTACAAATATTCTGCTTTAATTAATCAGTGGTGTGGCCCAGGCATGGGTATTTTTGTAACACTCTCAAGGTAATTCTAAAGTGCAGCCAAAGCTGAGAATCACTGCTCTTTCGTAATCTCATTCTTTCCCAGGCTTCAATGACCATACATAAATGCTAATGATCACCAAACCACTCTCTCCAAACCTAACAACTTGGATACTTCATGCAGTTTTCCAAAACCCTACTGGACATCTCTACGTGGATACCCTAAGCCATCTCAGACATGATATAAATAAGCTCTACTCATTTGCCCCTCCTCACATATCCTTGAACCCACTGATATTCCAGCAACCCTCGCCCCAGCTGTTGGCATCAACCATACCATATCTCGAATCAGAAACTTATTTTCAATGCTAATCACAGCCAGTTGATTCTATCACAGAACCATCTACCAAATCAAGCCTATCTTCTCATTTGCAACACCTTAATCCCTTCCTAATATCTCACTTGGCCATCATGACAGATTTTATTTTTTAGTAAAATTCACACAAATTAGCATAAAGCAGGGACAGGTTTCTTCTTTTTAACTTTTTTTCTTCTTTTTTAACTTTATTCCAATAGTTGGTGTTCTTCTCTCAACAAAAAGGTCAGGCACTAGGATCCCACAGGCCGAGTGGTGCAGCCACAAAATACTTATAAAAAGTAAAAAAAAAAAAAAAATCACAACATCACAATAAGCCATCTATGTGCATGTGACTAACTCTCACTAGGCTAAGCTCTATGAAACAGGGCGACGTGTCTTGCTCATTAGTTCCTTTGCCCACCGCATTCTTTATGCTTAATAAACAGTGGTTGAACAGTTTGCTTGAACCAGTCTCCCCTCAGCAGATTTTCCAATTCCAGTTAATCCTCCATAGTGCCTACATATCTGCCTTTTAAAAGCTGACAATACTGTTCTCAGGCTAAAAGGTATCTCAGCCTAGATCCTCACCACCCTCAGGACAAAATTAAATCTTCATAGCATAGCATTAAAGTTCATTCACAACCTAGCCCTGAGCAGCTTCTCTAGTTTCACCTCTTGACACACACATACGGTCACAATTCTATAGCTGCATTCATCTTCTCTTGCTTTCCCAAAAACATCTTGCCCTTCTACATTTCTGTGCCTAGTGCACACGGTGCACAAAATTGGAAACTAAATAGCCTTGAAGTCAAGGTTAGTCAGGCTGAAATCTAGTTTCCTCAAATATAACATAAATATTGTCACTCCCATAAGAGTACGAGGGAAAAAATTAAATAATGTACTAAATGAACCTGATATAATGCTTCATTGTCGTTTACTCATAAGCTCATGTCCGACTCTCTTGGGACCCCATAGACTGCAGCCCACCAGGCTCCTCAATCCATGGGATTTCCCAGGCAAGAATACTGGAGTGGGTTGCCATTTGCTTCTCCAGGGGACCTTCCCAAACCAAGGATCAAACCCACCTCTCTGGCATGGCAGGTGGATTCTTTACCACTGAGCCACAGGGGAAGCCCAATATAATGCTTAGCAGTGTTTAATAATTGTTGAGTTCCATCTTATTCACCTGGACCTGGAACATTCTCCCTCCCTACTAGATTAAACTCAAATGTTACAGGCTCTATAGCTTCTTCCCAAGTCCCCAGGTATAGTCTATTTTCCCAGTGTACACTCCAATTAGTCAAATATCTATAAATGTTTATTACATGATATATTCTTATCTTGGATATGTTCCAAAACAAAAGGGGGGAAAGGAGTTAAGTGAAGACTATGGGTGAAACAAGAATTATCAAGAGTTGCAAATGACTGAAGTTGGGTGATAGGTTTGTGAAGATTCATTCTCCCACTGGGTATTTTTTTAAGTTTATTTATTTTATTATTTTTGGCTGTGCTTGATCTTCATCGATGCGCATGGGCTTTCTCTAGTTGCAGTGAGTGGGGCTACTCTCTAGTTGTGATGCATGGGTTTCTTATTGATATGGCTTTTCTTGTTGTGGAGCTCAGGCTCTAGGAGTGTGGGCTTCAGTAGCTGAAGCACATGAGCTCAGTAGTTTTGGCATGTGAGCTCTGTAGTTGTGTGCCACAGGCTTAGTTGCTCTGAGGCATGTAGGTTCTTCCCAGACCAGGGATTTAACCTGTGCCCCCTGCATTGGCAGGTGGATTCTTAACCACTGGATCACCAGGGAAGTTCCTCCTACTGCATATTTTGTATACATTTGAAATTCTCCACGTTCAAGCTTTTTAATGTCTATTTCAGCACTTATCACGTATTATAATTATCTGTTTATCTCTGCTTCCCATTAAAATTTTTCTCTCCTAGGGCAAGGGGTAACTTCTATCAACCTCCTAGTGCAAGGATAGACACCCAGGATACAGTCCAAAAATTCTCAATCAAGTGAATGAAGCAACGTTCACGAATAAAATGCAATTGAGTTTTACAATACATTCCTTATTGTGAATAAATAAATTACACATCTTCAGATACAAGCTTGCCTATACAGGGAAAAAACCAACATCATCAATAACAGTTGTCTTGTAAAATAATTCCTAATATTAATAAATTATGATCCCTGCTATGGAAACAATTTAACAACCATAGTTCAGTCAGTGTTAATTTATTATCAAGGTAACCTTCAGCTATTCCTTTACCATACCTACCACATGGAACTAGAAAATTTCTTAACTAAAGGTAATTGAAATTTCTGCTAAAACATTCACTATGGTACTTTCAGACTAACACCCAAATCTCACATTAGTAAACTGCCTCATTTACTTTGGAA